AAACAGTTCTGTGGGAACAGTGGGGAGTTTTAGTCATTAATAACATTATCAGCAGCATTAAAACGAAGAAAAAAGAGGAAACAACCAGATCTATATAATTCCCCAAAGAAACAAACAAGAAATATTACACAAATATTCCTTTTTGGAGAGCTCCTACGGTTATGTGAGCAAATTCTGGATTATTACAGGTCTGAATCTGATGTCAAACGAAGTCCGGAGAGTAGTCAAAACCGGGGTTAGTCGGTAACGTAGCAAGTGGCCCCTCATTGTTAGCGCGATAAAAACAGCTAACCCTCATTCCGTCCCTCGTAGGTGGGATAGTCGGAATTATCGGGCTAAAATCCGATGGGTGCCGGGTTATACGGTTTTATTTCTGATGTTTTAAAGACATTTCTAGACAAAATTCAGATCTGTCTTGGAGTGAGCATATGAAATGGACAATTTACTATCGATAGGGCCAATAATTTTTGTGTGGATATTTTGTGGGTTAGTCGGTTTTATCACCAGGCCGACGATGTGCTGCATCGTATCTATGGGAAACTACCTTAGACATAATATAAAGTTCTATCAGCTCAGTAGGCCTTTCCTACATCCAGTTTGGAGAAATTTGACGTTAAATAATTTTTGAGTTTCACAAGTCAAACTTTTTCGAGTGCAATTCTTTGAATATCTTGATAACAACTCCATATAGATCTAATCTTACAATTTTTATAGAGCAGATGGGACATTTGGTTTCTGAACTCATGGCCTTAGTAACTCATAACGGCCAAAAATGTCAGATAGAACTTTGTATTTCTGAGGTAGCGGAGGAGACCACTTTGATTGTGAAGTCGCAACAATACTGTTTGGTCCATGGTTGGTAGGGCATGTTGAAATACGGAAATCTACGAAAACAGTTTGATAAGCAGTATATCTCGCCACTTGAATTTGTCAAAGTTCATCAAGCAATGTATTCTGATGTGTACCTTTCCACGATCTGAATTGATGTTCGGGAATTTTTTTGTTTTGTTTTGTGTGTTCGTTTGTTGTGGTTTTTGTTTTGTTTTTAATATTGAAGTAATGTTTTAATAACCTAAACCAACATATCTTATGTTAATACGGCAAATCTCCACTCTGGTTAGTGTTTTTCGCTTGCCCTTCTCCTCATGTACCCAAACGTGATAATTAGAGTTTAATTTCTTTTTTTCAGTTGTAGATAGGTTGTTGTTGTTTGTTTGTTTTTTTTGGGTGGGTTTTTCCCTGTTATAAGCGAGTCCTGTTATAACCGTTATCAAGGGAAACTACCAGCACCATTGCACCTTCAGCTTACTATATTTATATTCAATTACCGAAAATCCTTTACCAGTGGGCTGTGTTGTTGACACTGAGACGGAATCGATCAGTGACCCCAACACTATGGGGGAGGGGGGGGGTGTTAATGTGTTTGAAAGTTTGTGTTTAGACAAGAGATCATACAACCCGGCGAAACGTCTTGGTTGAGACAAATTTTAATAATTTGACGGATCGAAAGCAAGTTCAAGCGCTGAAAGATCACTGTTATATTCGAGTCTGCACAAATCGAACCCTATTTTTGCCAGGTTCCTATTACTTACACTTATAGAGAAACAAAAACGGGGATTTGATTTATCACTGTTATACCCAAGTTCATGTAATTACACTCGGCATTACTATGGTCGATCAGCAACAGGTAAATACTGCCTTTTCACATTTCATAAGAAACAGTGGGTGCTCTGGTGTAATTGCTCTTTCTTTCCTATCAAACATCCATCGTCCTTACAGCTCTCCTCCTTTTTGTATTTGTTTCCGTCTTGTAACATCACTAATCTTCGGCACTTAAGTGACTTTAATGGGTAGCAGTATTGTAAAACTTGGTGCTTAAAATTATGACCTTATTGTATTGCAAGCGCCGTTTTAACTCCTACTAAAAGTAAACACATTTCATAGTAGGCCTACGTATGCTCTTAATTGATTTTCAAAGTTTCAGATAAAGAAAGCAGAATTGAAAAATCTGCATGAATATAGTTAAAACAGTGCGTCTTCGAGCATTGTCGAATGACTCTCAAAGTTTATGTATTACATGTATTATTCGAGACGCGACTTGTTTGCTAGCATTTAGTAAGTGTTTGTTGACTTGGGTTTTTGTTTGTTTGGGTTTTTTTGCGGGGTAGGTTTTTTGTTTATTTGGGGGGGGGGGGGGTTGTAAGTTTTACGGCACTTGAAGCAAAAAAATGTTATTTTAAAAAAAAAAACATTTTAGTAGAGGTTTAACGGCTCTCGCAACTGCATAAGGTCATATGAGCGCGAAAAAAAAAGTCAGATCGTGCCGAAAATTAGAGGTGTTATAAGAGAGTAACAAAATATACAAAATGGAGGAGCGATAAGAATGACAGATTTTGACGTTCGGTCGGAAAGTAGTAGCTATACAAGAATTCTGTGTAGCTACATCACACCAGAGCACCCGCCAGCCACCCACAAGTAACAGTTTTTGCCGCACATGTAACACAATACAGTCAAAAAGTGTCGAAAGAGGTGTTATAAGAGAGTAACAAACACACAAAAAGGAGGAAAGAGCTGATAAGGACAATAGAGGTTTGATAGGATAGAAGGAGCAAACCACATCAGAGCACCTGCCATGCAACCACTAACTAGCAGTAACTCGGCGGTCAATTATAAAGACGAAGAGATAACAGTGCTTATTGGTGGTTACATGCCAGCCATTTTGTCTGCCTTCTGAAGACAAATTGATACAAGTTCAGTGCCATAATTTGAAATAAATTGGCACTTTCCATTTAGGGTTGATCTCCGAAAATCTTTTTTTCTTTCAATAAAAAGAAATGGACGACCTAATGAAATTACCAGTACACAAGAATTGAGTTCTTGACCTGTTTCACATAGATCCAATTTGTTTTCAGATTGGTAATATTTTTATGTTGCTTTATGATCATATGCCGGTTTTAATTTTTTTTTTCTGCGTTGAATGATATTACTGTTCGAAAAAAAAGTTGGAGGGCGCCGTTAAATATTTATGCATTTTTCATGTGACATTTATACACTCATGTTATGCCTTTAGAAATGATGCCTGCTATATCTAAATAGTCAATTCAACAATGTGTATTGTAACCAACTTTGAGAAGAGATTGTGCTCGAGTTGTGAAATCGAGGCGTAATATGCTAAAAACAGGCGAGTTCATGAAACATATAGGTCTATAAATAACATAGAATTCGCAATAATATATTTATTTAAGGCCTCAATAATCCCTGGTATACAGTCTAGTACGCACATTATGAAATCAGCTGGGTGTGGAAATATTTTGGAAAGGTACGAATTTTGTTTTGAATGCCTAGATCTAGATCTATATGTTTTAAATACAGAAAATAGTATCATGTAAGGAAAAAAATTGGGACCTTGACATCTGTTGGCTACGTGCGTGTTCCGTTGTGTGGGCGTTCGCTATGTTCGTACTAAATTGTATAATATACTGTTAAACATATATATTAATACTAGAGAGAGAGAGAGA